AGGGTTAGTCAACAATAACCACAGATGATGATACCTAGTGTAACATTTTATTTTCTATTTACCCTAGCAATAAAGAAGCATAAAGACTATGAAATATCAAACAAGAACCACTGTATAAAGCTCAGAAACCACATTTTATTATGTAAACTGTGCTAAACAAATGCAACAATGTTTAATATACTTGCTTGAAGTTATATAGAAATATAATTGAACATTTTATTGCAAAATCATATCTCTATACACCCGAGTGACGAAAACAGTGTTAATAAATTTGCGTGCTCTCCCTGTTGTCATATATTTTACTCTAAGGATTCCTACAGTAAACACAATTTTGTTAACAATAGCTCTTTGATGGCTTGTAAGTACAATCAAACAAAAATGTGATTATGCATATGTAGAAAAGAATACCTTAGGATAATCCTTTAATGTGGTGTGGGAGCATTTTAGCGTACTACTGCTATCGTTAGGCTTGAACTTGCAGTCCTCACATAGGCAAAACTCCAGATGAAGTAAATGGGAAATTGTCCAAGGGACGACTGCAGGATTAGACCTCTATTCTGCCAGCAAAATGTTAATGCACTATATCACTTAATCACAGAAGTTGGTTCTGGAGAACAACATTTAATTACTTCATGTTTTTCAAACATATATGTGAAAGACCTTTACAAAGTAAGTTAAATATCATTATCCCCACGTATCCAAACTGAAGTACATAGAGGAGAAGTAACTTCACCCATTGCAGGATTATCCTATGCATTTATTTCTGGTGCTTTGTTAAATCTTATTTTAAATGTCAAGAGATGTGTCTCTCACCACATCCCTAAGGAACTATTCCCAAAAGAAAGAAGGGCTACTCTCCTTTCAAGATTGAACTGTGCTAGGAATGGGAAAGAGGGGATGCTGCCTGAGTAGCAGAACCTGGGGGTTTAGGCCTCTGAAAGGCACAAAGCTCTCTGGGAGCTCCGACAAGTGCAGTGAGAGGAACGCTTTGCTCCCTAGCTTGTTGCAGGACAGATATGTACTCAGTACTCAGACACCACCCCGGTGCAACTAGCACTGATGGCTGCACAATCCCCAGAGTACAGGAAAAGGAAATAAATCAGGGCCTGTGAAGAACCAAAAGCTGCATGACAGTGGGAGCAGCAGGCTGGACACAAAAGCCTGGGAGCTGGCTGTGAAGGAAAGACTGGGTAGCAAGCCATGTGGGAGCTAGAACTGTAGCGCTGAGAGTCAAGCAGATACAGTGTTATTTCTGGTCCAGGGACAGCTGTACCTCCAATAAGGATATACAGGACAGCAACCTGCAGGTGGTACACAAGTATGTGTGGGTTATGAATAGAGCTGGTCGGAGAATTTTAGTTTTTGTTCCTAAAAAAAAAAAAATCAATGAAAACCTTTTCATTGACATCAAAAATTTTCTTCAGAAGTTTCTGGGTCTTCAAAAAAATCCCACCCAGCATACTGCCAAATGATGAAAAGGTTCTCCATTTTTGGCTGTTTTTTGAGGGGTGGGATTTGGGAGCTTTTGACCCCGCCCTCCCCTATTATACAGGCAAAACTGCACAGGATTGTTTCAAGGGACAAGATAAGATGTCAAGTTTATTATAATAACACAATTTGATTTAAGATCAATAACTAATATCTAATACCTATGTATACACACACACACATACACACACACACACAACAAATGTTCAGCTGCTAGATAGTTACCAGTCCTGAATGTAGCTTGAGTTCGTGGCTTGGGTTCATAGCTTGTGGCGGCTAACTGGCCAGGAAAACCAGGCACAAGGAAGAACTGGCTCTCTGTTGGGCATGCACCGATGCCCTTCCATTTTGGCAGCAGAATGTTACACTCCAAAGTCTTCCATCTCACCCATCCTTTTTATAGGCTTTTCTTTGAATCCAGAGTCTATAGGTCTTGCTGTGTCGTGCTGCCTCAGCGTTCGGTGCGATTGATCACCCGTCAATTGCAGACATGACTTTCAGCCTAGGACCTGGCTTTGATGTTTCTTCAATTGTCCTTTTATTCTTTTCTTTTGAAGGTGGGCTCTTCTTGCTTTGTCAGGGCTGTTGTCTGCATCTTCAGCCGTTAGTGTTTACACTTTATTTCATCAGGACAGGCTGGGGCTGGAGGTTGATTCCATCATCCATCCATACCTCATTCACACATCTAAACTAAACTAATAAGATTACAGCAGGGTTTTGCAAAAATGAAGTGAGCATTTTAAAATGGAGTTTGGGAGAAGTTAAAATGGAGTTTGGGTTACAACATGGACAAGTGTAAGGAATGGTAAACAGTGAACAGAAGTTACAACATGGACAAGTGTAAGGAATGGCAAACAGTGAACAGAAGTTACAATATAGACAAGTATAATGAATGACAAACAATGAGCAGAAGTTACAATGTTGAAACAAGAAAAGGAGTACTTGTGGCACCTTAGAGACTAACCAATTTATCTGAGCATAAGCTTTCGTGAGCTACAGCTCACTTCATCTGATGCATCCGATGAAGTGAGCTGTAGCTCACGAAAGCTTATGCTCAAATAAATTGGTTAGTCTCTAAGGTGCCACAAGTACTCCTTTTCTTTTTGCGAATACAGACTAACATGGCTATTACTCTGAATGTTGAAACAGTGTAAGTCTCAGCGATTTAAGCAGCAATTGGATTGAAAGTGAAACTCAATTAGCCAGTTATTGGGGTACCTAGTTTTATGAATGAATGTCGTTTCATTCATAAAACTTTACTTATGAAGTTATATTAATAAAGTGAACAATTAAAAACAATTTCAGTGATCAGTTCTACATTGTCCACCTTTTGACCCTTCAATCCAGGGTTATTGAATGGGTCCCACTTTATGTAATTGTTTTAAGGCTATAAATGTGAACCTGTGGTTTTAGCTTAAAATATATCTGTTTTATCCAACAGCACATGCAGAGCATTAGAACCAACATAACAGTCAGGATTACTAATAGAACAATGATGGGATGAAGAATTATATCTAGAACTGCTGACCAGGTGGGCTGCTCCTACAACACTCTGCCCCTTGATCTATGATCATTACAGTAGTTGTTGTCATTGTAGGACACAGGTGATCTGTTGCAAACAAACCAAACTAAAACCATTACAATTCACTAAACACCAGATATAACATAAACACAAATATACCCAATTATAACTATAATAATTGGGAATACAATAAAACCATCATATTACAATAATTGAGTACATTGACAAACAAAATGAGGCCCAAGTTTGATGCTGCAGTAGCCAGCAAACAATAAAAGTGAACCCTAACCCTTAAGTACACACAACAAATAAGATTTTGTAGGAGTACCACAGTTGTTATGCCAGGTGAAACTGATTTGGACTTAAACTAACATTTAGTTACTTAAATGTTCCAGAATCCCCTATTCCTAACAATTGTTCTCAAGTGGTCTCTGGGGACCTGAAAGCTAGGGCCCTACAATCACAGGCCAAGGTCTTACAGGTTATGGGGGCCCACGAACTACCCTTCAGGGCTAGATTGACAGAGCCAGAAGAGTACCCAGAAGTTACCTGCTACAGGACAGGCCCAACAAAGAAAATAACAGAACGCCACTAACCATCACCTTCAGCCCCCAACTAAAACCTCTCCAACGTATCATCAAGGATCTACAACCTATCCTGAAGGATGACCCATCGCTCTCACAGATCTTGGGAGACAGGCCAGTCCTTGCTTACAGACAGCCCCCCAACCTGAAGCAAACACTCACCAGCAACCACACACCACACAACAAAAACACTAACCCAGGAACCTATCCTTGCAACAAAGCCCGTTGCCAACTGTGTCCACATATCTATTCAGGGGACACCATAATAGGGCCTAATCACATCAGCTACACTATCAGAGGCTCATTCACCTGCACATCTACCAATGTGATATATGCCATCATGTGCCAGCAATGCCCCTCTGCCATGTACATTGGCCAAACTGGACAGTCTCTACGTAAAAGAATAAATGGACACAAATCAGACATTAAGAATTATAACATTCAAAAACCAGTCAGAGAACACTTCAATCTCTTTGGTCACTCGATTACAGACCTAAAAGTGGCAATTCTTAAACAAAAAAATTTCAAAAACAGACTCCAATGAGAGACTGCTGAATTGGAATTAATTTGCAAACTGGATACAATTAACTTAGGCTTGAATAGAGACTGGGAGTGGAATGGTCATTACACAAAGTAAAACTATTTTCCTATGTTTATTCCCTCCTCCCCTCCGCTGTTCCTCAGATGTTCTTGTCAACTGCTGGAAATGGCCCACCTTGATTATCACCACAAAAGTCGTCCCCCCCCCCCCGCTCTCCTGCTGGTAATAGCTCACCTTACCTGATTACTCTCTTACAGTGTGTAAGGTAACACCCATTGTGTCATGTTCTCTGTGTATATAAATCTCTCCACTGTATTTTCCACTGAATGCATCCTATGAAGTGAGCTGTAGCTCACGAAAGCTTATGTTCAAATAAATTTGTTAGTCTCTAAGGTGCCACAAGTCCTCCTTTTCTTTTTGCAGATACAGACTAACATGGCTGCTACTCTGAAACCTTCAGAGCTTGAGGAAGTACAACCAGAGTGCATAGAGGAAAGTGTGGAATTAACCATACAAGCAAATGTAACTGACAATACACATGTATCAATAATAAAAATCAACAACAAAATGATTATTAGAGAACCTAACCAAAAATAAAACTGATGCATTGGGGATCAAAGTCTCTTGGACAGAGGTGTAAGTGATTGATAATTTTGTTGGGGATGGGGGAAGTAGAGAGAGAAAAAGGCATTTACCCTTTACCTAGTATAGTATCCCCTCTCTCTCTCTGGACTCAATGCTAGCACAGGACACCCACCAAAGACAGACACAGAACATGCAACACAGAACACGGAACACAGACTTTGTCATGACACTATAACCATGGTGTTTTATAACTCTTCATGTGGCGGTTCAGTGATGAGACAGAACACAGCTTTTTGCAAGCAAGCAGGCTGGTCAGCTGAGATGGGCTGTTTTCTGCCCCCCCGCCTTCCACCTTCTCCTTTTATTATATTTCTCCCCCTAAGCATTACACACTGCTACACAAAGGAATGTGTGACGTTAATTCATATACTTAGTTACCATCCCCTATCTACTACAATCCTGGTTCTCAGGCCTTGAGCCCAGGCTAAGAAAGCCTCCCACAATTGCTGTCCAAACAATCAAGTTCTCATGGTTCATATCTAGCCCTTGTCCTTGGATAGAGCAATGTGTGCATTGCTTCTACGAAACAGTCAGGGTGTGCCCCGCCTGCTTCCAGGTGGACTAGCTAAACATTAACCCTTCATCTCCCCGTTTTTTATTTATTGATATTTGGCCATCTCAAGGTAGCCGTCAATTTGTTTTGTCATGCTATTTAACTCCCAGACAGACAAGGACATAACCTGGGGAGCTTTCCAGGGCAAAATTTTACAAAATCTTAACAAGGAAAGAATACATTGTACACAGCAGCAGCAAAAAATAAGCCCAATGATTACAAACACAAAATAACCAAAAGCTCAACATCTGCAATATAATCATCTAAAAGGGGTACACTTCTTTTACTACAATTGTCACCAGCAAAAGGCAATATAAATATCATTCTACTAAGACAGCAAAGGGTGCCATCACTTACATTTGCAGGAATATAATTAAAGGTGCGTGAACCGCAAGTAAAAACCCATCCTGATGGTAGGATGATATGGCCATAATTATATGAAACATTAACAGCATGGGAACAATTTAAAAGAGGTTGAGAAATTTTTCGACAGCCTAAGGGCACCTTTATACTAGTACAATTAACTACACGCGCACAGGTAACATTTGCTATTGAAGCCAATCTTTCCCATATGTTATATGTCATTCGGGCTTATAACGGGGGAGGCGCTTCCGAGCCAACCCCTACAGAAAATAGCAGGCACAAAAGGCACACAATCATCACAGAATTAGCAGTGATTTGGGCGAGAATCGCCACAAACAAAGTCTCAGGAGTCTCTGGCTGTTGATCTGCTGCCAGTCTTCGTTGAGCCGCGGCGACCAATGCTTTTACTGCTCCCCATGTCACGGGCTGGCTTGGGACGCTACGCCTCCTCCGTTTCCGTCCCGTCGTTGTCGACTCGGGGGGCAACGTGGTCTCCTCCAAGGTCAGCTGAAACTCCGGTATGGGATTCGACAGTCCCTGGTGCCATGCCATGTTGTTTAAGTGCCGGTCGCACACACCGAGCTGGAACCCACAACGGTCCTGCAGGGAGAGACACAGCAGCATATCCCCGACCCCAAGTGATTAGAGGTACTGGGCCCAGCCACTGTGGATCGGGCAGCTGACGGTAAAAGACACGTGGTCTTTCCAGTACCTCAGATTTGTGAAAATGCCGATCCGCAGGGGTCTGCTGATCTGCATTCAGTGTTAAATTATTTAAAGTAAACAAGAGGATATGCATTTGTTGTTAAATGTCTCCTAAGGTTCGGAGACGCAGCTCCCCTTGTTTTAATTGTTTATCTAGCAAGGTTTTGAGTGTGCGATTGGCACGTTCAACAATGGCTTGGCCCGTGAAATTATAAGGGATTCCGTGTGTAAGACGGACGTCCCAGCGGGCACAAAAGGTGGAGAGGGCTGCAGAGCAGTAGGCTGGGGCATATCTGTTTTAATTTGGCAGGGGCGACCCATAACAAAAAGGCAGGCCAGCAAATGGTGAATAACTTTGTTAGTGGCTTCCCCACGTTGTGGGGAAGCCCAAAAAAAACTTAAATAAATATCAACGGAAACATGTAAAAACAAATAGGGGCGGAATTGTGGCACATGAGTAACATCCATCTGCCACAGCTGATTTGCTGCGGTACCTCGGGGGTTAACGGCATAAGAAAAAGTAGGAGCAGCAGCAGCACAGTGGGGGCAGGAACGAACAATGGAACGTGCATGATCAGCAGGAATGTGAAACTGCCGGGCCAAAACAGAGGCAGACTGATGAAAAAAGGCATGGCTTTCAATGGGGTCAGAAAAAAGGGAATTTACCTGACCACGCAACGCGCGACCGGCGCGTGCATTGCCCTCAGTGAGTGGCCCAGGCAGAGGGGTATGACTGCGAATATGAGCAACAAAGTAAGGGAAATGACGAGTGACAAGAAGATGCTGCAAAGACAAAGACAGGCGAAGGAGGTCTGCATCAACCTGAGGGGTAATGAGGGCAAGGGGTAAATGATCAATTACCTGATAAACATAATGGGTATCCACGATTAAATTAAAGGGACAATCAGCAAAAAGTTGAAAGGCCAAAATAACAGCAGCTAATTCTGAGGGCAAAGGGGGATGGTAAAAAAAAAAACAATCTTTTAAATCTAACACACAAAGTTGATCGGTTTGAGGAATTAAATTTGGATTTGGCAAGCCAAATTGCAAGGGGCCCATAGGTTGGATGCGTTTATTTATTTCCCTTAAGTCATGTAACAGCCGCCAAGCACCCGATTTTTTCTTAATAACAAACACCGGGGTGTTCCAGGGACTAGTGGAGCTCTCCAGTCGCTGTGCTTGCAAATGCTGCTGCACAAGCGAATGAAGTGCTTTTAGCTTTTTTAGAGGGAGGGGCCACTGATCAATCCATACGGGCTCTAAGGATTGCCATACCAAGGGTAAGGCGGAGGGCACGGTGGGTGAGGGAGGGTTTTGGGCCATCAGATGTTAATATCGAGGGTGGTGTCTAACTTTGTAAGTAAATCACGGCCCCAAATATTGAGGTGGACAGGGAGCACAAAAGGGCGGATAGTAGCAAGGGTACGGCCTCCCGGTTTAGAGACCGTGACCCAAGACAAACTTTGGCGCCCGGGTTTACTACCCCCGATCCCCCACAATTCTTTAGAAGGAACCGTAGGCCAATTAACCGGCCACTCCAGATCACGAATCACCGTAACGTCAGCTCCAGTGTCCACCAGCCCTGTAAAAGGAACATCATCTAAGAGAAGTGTTAACTGAGGCTTCGAGGGGCGGACTGACATTGTCAGAGCAACAAGTGGAGAAGACGCGCTGTGAGACGGCGAGTGAGACAACGTCGATCCAAAGCCGCCTCCGCCCCGAGTTTGATCCTCGGCAGCTGGCACCTGATAGGGGACTAAAATCAATTGTGCAATTGACCGTCCACGCGGGAGCGACTGTGGAAGATGAGTCCACACCTGAACCTTAATAATGCCAGTGTAATCAGCATCAATGACCCCTGGAATGACAAAAAAGCCCTGTTTCCCAGCATGTGAGCGAGGGAGAACAAGACCTACAAAGCCGGCAGGGAGAGGTCCCGTCACCTGTGTAGGTATGGCACAGACCTCCCCTGGCAGCCGAAAGTCAGTGTCCTCCTGCATGATCAAATCAAGCCCTGCACTTCCAGCAGTCGCCGCCCTCATAGAGTCTACAGATTCCAAGGCAGAGGAGCGATTGCCTGAGTAGGAAACACCCCCATTTGGCCCTGGGTTCGGGGGGGACCCGTCGCGCGGTTTCCCGACCCGCTACGACACTGATTAGCCCAGTGATAACCTTTCCCACACTTGGGGCACTTCTTTGAGGGTCGGGCTGGTGCCTTAGATGAGCGGCACTCCTGCTGAAAATGACCCTCCTTACCACAGCAGTAACAACGCTTCCCCTCCTTCCCAGTTTTTCTGAGGGCGGCAGCCAGAACTCCAGCCTTGTGGGTTTGTGTGCCGATGTTCTGGCACGCCCGCAGCATGTCTGAGAGCTCTAAAATACCAGAGGCTTGTGCTGCCTGGAGAGCACGGCGGCAATCCTCGTTTGCATTTTCAACTACCAATTTTAACAGGAGCTCGTGAGCTGCCTCAGTGTTATCCACCTGCCGGAGGATAGCCTCCTGCAATCTGTTGGTAAAATCCAAAAAGGACTCTGAGGCACCCTGACGGATACTGACAAAGCTTTTGGTAGGCTTGCCTGAATCCGGGACCTTCTTGAAAGCATGCTGGGCACAGGTGGAAATAATGGGGAAGACAGCCTGAGGGAGTTGAGACTGCATCTGAATAGTAGCAAACGGGCCCTCCCCTGCCAAATGCTCATAAATGATACCGCGCTCTCTATGTACCTGAGCTTGGCGTTCTGCCATCTGCCGATACTCACTAAGCCAAATAACATACTGACTGGGTGACAACATCATGCGCAGCAGCGTTTTCCAATCCTCAGAGATTAGGGAGTACCCAGTACCCATCCCTTCAATGAGACCACGCACAAAGGTGCTAGTCAGGCCAAATTCACGAATTGCTTTCTTTACCTCTCTAACCACCGAGTATGGCAAAGTGGTCCAGGTGCCCACGGGGTTGCCCTGGTCATCATTCTGCCAGGTCACCGGGCAAACGGAGACCAGATCAGCCAGCTCCTCCGCTGTAAGATCTGATCGAGCTTTCGCTGCGTGAACCATTTGTTGCACCAGCGAAAGCTTCTGAGCAGATGCAGATGACCCTCCGGGGGGCCCCACGGGGGGAGGGTGATCACACACCGGCTCCGGTGGGGAAGGCCAGGGAGGCGGTGGTAATAGAGGCACTGGGGGCAAAGCAGGGGGAGGGATGGCTGCAGGAGCGAACGGGGGCGGCGGGATCGGCAGCCCCTCTGTTGGTGCTGGAGAGGGCCTTTCCGAGGCGACACTCTGTGTCGCATCGCCAGGAGGGGGGATGGCTGCAGGAGCAGACGGGCGTGGTGAGATCACCAGCCTCACGAGGGAGGGCCTGTCGGAGGCGACACGCTGTACCACATCGCGGCAGAGGTGCCAGGCATGTAAAGCCTGCACGGGCACCCGAGGCTCTTTGTGCAATGTCTGGCCCAATCGCTCCCAGTCCGCTAGCTTAAGGCTTCCGGCTTCAGGATACCACGGGCACTTGGCACACACCTCCTGTAGCAGGAGAGTAAGTGCTCGAGCCGGGCAGTCATGCTGAGCCTTATGCAGCAAATACTGCAGCTCATTGCGGTGTTGCACTTGCAAAGCAGAGAGGGAGCTTCCCATACTTACCACAACGAAAAATACTCACCGGGATCCACGAAGCGGATGAGTGACGCGTCTGAAACCCTTGCCGGGCGAGGTGAGTGCTGAGGGCCCCACGTTTGGGCGCCAGTTGTGGCGGTTCAGTGATGAGACAGAACACAGCTTTTTGCAAGCAAGCAGGCTGGTCAGCTGAGATGGGCTGTTTTCTGCCCCCCCGCCTTCCACCTTCTCCTTTTATTATATTTCTCCCCCTAAGCATTACACACTGCTACACAAAGGAATGTGTGACGTTAATTCATATACTTAGTTACCATCCCCTATCTACTACAATCCTGGTTCTCAGGCCTTGAGCCCAGGCTAAGAAAGCCTCCCACAATTGCTGTCCAAACAATCAAGTTCTCATGGTTCATATCTAGCCCTTGTCCTTGGATAGAGCAATGTGTGCATTGCTTCTACGAAACAGTCAGGGTGTGCCCCGCCTGCTTCCAGGTGGACTAGCTAAACATTAACCCTTCATCTTCAGCTGGTACCAGCTCTCCTGATGTTCTGGTTCAGAGGCTAAAAGATAGAAGCTTAGAAACACATTAGCACAGTGCTCCCACCATGGCAGACCCTGCTTCGTCTCTGCCACAGTGTGTCCAGTACTTGGGGTTGCACCAATGCTCATTAAGCGGTGCATTTCTTGTGAGTTTACATCCTCCCTTTCTCCCAGTAAAAGGGCATTAACACTCCATCTAGAAAAATGTTCCTGTTTTAAAATCCCCAGCCACTTTGCCTTGGCCTGGAGATCTGAGGCAGAAACTGGCACTGTTGTTACTGTTTCACTTTTACCACCCTCTCTCATGGTTGTGGTTTGGCATTTTGGCCCCAGGGAGGAGGAATCCACCCAAATATCCCCTTCCCCATCTCCAGAGGGGCCCCTTCTGGGGTCTCGAATGTCTCTTCTCCTGATGTTACTCCTGCAATTTGTCTGTTTGCAAATCCCAATTTTTGTTCCAGCTGTGTAATGAGTGATTTACAGTGAGCAGAAGTTACAATGTTGAAACAGGTTTCAGAGTAACAGCCGTGTTAGTCTGTATTCGCAAAAAGAAAAGGAGTACTTGTGGCACCTTAGAGACTAACCAATTTATTTGAGCATGAGCTTTCGTGAGCTACAGCTCACTTCATCGGATGCATACCGTGGAAACTGCAGCAGACTTTATATATACACAGAGAATATGAAACAATACCTCCTCCCACCCCACTGTCCTGCTGGTAATAGCTTATCTAAAGTGATCATCAAGTTGGGCCATTTCCAGCACAAATCCAGGTTTTCTCACCCTCCACCCCCCCACACAAATTCACTCTCCTGCTGGTGATAGCCCATCCAAAGTGACAACTCTTTACACAATGTGCATGATAATCAAGTTGGGCTATTTCCTGCACAAATCCAGGTTTTCTCACATCCCCCCCACCCCCATACACACACAAACTCACTCTCCTGCTGGTAATAGCTCATCCAAACTGACCACTCTCCAAGTTTAAATCCAAGTTAAACCAGAACATCGGGGGGGGGGGGGGGGGGGGAGGGAAAAAACAAGAGGAAATAGGCTACCTTGCATAATGACTTAGCCACTCCCAGTCTCTATTTAAGCCTAAATTAATAGTATCCAATTTGCAAATGAATTCCAATTCAGCAGTTTCTCGCTGGAGTCTGGATTTGAAGTTTTTTTGTTTTAAGATAGCGACCTTCATGTCTGTGATTGCGTGACCAGAGAGATTGAAGTGTTCTCCGACTGGTTTATGAATGTTATAATTCTTGACATCTGATTTGTGTCAGTGTAAGTTTCAGCGATTTAAGCAGCAATTGGATTGAAAGTGAAACTCAATTAGCCAGTTATTGGGGTACCTGGTTTTATGAATGAATGTAGTTCCATTCATAAAACTTTCCTTATGAAGTTATATTAATAAAGTGAACAATTAAAAACAATTTCATTGATCAGTTCTACACCCCCCATTGTCAAACATTGAAGTTTCCTGCAGAAACAAATAACAAAGTAGTTGTTACACTGAAACAAGTTTTGAAAGGAAAAATGTTGACCAGTTCCAATTAGACTATTATTGTTATAGCTCTGTGCTGGAGTACCCCTTTGGGTTGGGGCAATATTTTTTTTGTAGCCATGGCACACAATTCTATCTAGGATGTTTTCCCCTTTTAGTTTCTAGAAGCCCTAGTCAAGCAATTGTGCTATGGTTGAGGGGTGAGGTGTGTTGGCAGAGCTGGGCACAGAGAAGGGCTGGAGACGAGGTGCGTTGCCAGAGCTGGGCACAGGGAAGGCTGGCAGAGATGGGGTGCTATGGGTGAAGGGTGAGGTGCGTTGGCAGAGCTGGGTACAGGGAAGGGCTGGAAACGGGGGTGCTGTGGTTCAGGGCTGAGGTGCATCGGCAGAGCTGTGTGGGACCCATGGGACGGACAGACTGTGCTTTCTGTAAATCAGGACTGAAGTGCGTGAGCAGGGCCAGGTGGTAGCAATGTGCGCAGTGCACCTCTGCTCTGGCTTGCTCTGGTTCTGTCACACCGCACACACCTAGGCCCCCTGCCCTCATTAAGTAACAGTCTGAGAGGCGGGAGTGGAGCAGAGCTGAGCCTTGGTGCATCCAATGTGCACTCAGACTTTGCCTCCCACCCAGCCTTGGCAGTACCACGCTGGAAGCCAGGACTTTGACACCAGCGTCTGGTTAGCAAACACCCAAAGTGGGTAAGAGTTTATGGGAACCCACTGATGGCTACAGCCTGAAGATCCTAGTGCTTGGAGCACTTACAGCACTTACCTCCAGTTCTAAAAAAAGAAGGGCTGGAATGTACTTCTAATACAAAGAGTGACTATTAATGGAATGGTCTCAGATTGGGGGAAGGTCTCAAGTGGGGTTCCACAGGAATCTGTTCTGGGTCCGGTGTTATTTAACATATTTATTAATGACCTGGATGTAGGAATAGAAAGCATACTGATCAAGTTTGCAGATGACACAAAGTGGTGAGGGCAAGGGGTTGCAAACATTTTAGAGGATAAAGCTAAAATTCAAAGAGATCTTGAACAAAATTTTGGTCACAAGTATAGTTTCAGAAAGATAGATAAAGAGTTGCATATACCCTTCTGTCTATGTAATCATCCTGAAAGCTCACTCTGGGTTTTGGGAGTTCTCCAGTCAGGGAACAGAAGCATTGCCATATGGCTTAGATGACCAAACTAGTTAAAGCAATAGTTGCAGGAAACAGTTCATGAATTGAACTTTGTCTGCATAAACCAGTTAACAAATAATTTCAAGCAATTAATCTATGCAAATGCAAGTCTGTGGCACATGGTTTCTCAAGAAAATGAGGGAATGCATTTGTTAAATTGTTCACTAAAAATAGTGCAATCATCTGTAGAGAATATCACAGTCCTGCAGCCTTAAAATGTTACCTACTGAGCAGGAAGGGAAAGAGATCTTGGTGACATGCAATTGAAATCAGCCTGCAAAGCAGGAAATCTTTAAGGTAGACTTTTAATTCTCCAAAGTGGTAATAGTAAAATAATGGACCAAATTTTGAAGGAGAAAAAAAAATCACTGCTTGGCTAGAAAGTAGCAGAGCCTCAAAGCAGTTTTTCTCCAATTTACTTAATTGCTTTTAACAAATAAGAGAATTAGTGGAGGAATAAAAACTGGAAGGAGTTGCAAATAAAGTGGGAGGATCTAATCCCACAAACTGCTGCTGATTATCTCTGAAGTGCTTAATGCACAAAAATTCCCATTGACTTCAAATGGAGATGAGGGTGTTTAACACCTCACCAGATCTCCCTGCAGGAATAAGCCCCTAGGGAAGACTCAGAAACAATACCAAGGAGTCTAGAGAAGTGCTTCTCAAGCTATCTGATGTGAGGGACTGGCAATTTTTTTTTCCCAGTGTGCCCGCAGACCAGCAGCCGATGGCTCGCGGACCGGCACCGGTCCGTGGACCACCACTTTGAGTAGCACTGGTCTAGATAGATTAGGAATATGGACAGTAGGTAACACAATGGAAAAAGGAAGCCAGTACACATTTTGGCGGAATTTTTTTTGAAATACAGGTTTCAGAGTAACAGCCGTGTTAGTCTGTATTCGTAAAAAGAATGAGCTTTCGTGAGCTACAGCTCATGCTCAAATAAATTGGTTAGTCTCTAAGGTGCCACAAGTACTCCTTTTCTTTTTTTGAAATACAGATATTGAAAGGAAGGGAGAAGCCTGAAAAAGTAGACATGCTTGAAGAGACCAATAATAGGGGTGTCAGTACACTGCAAATTAGTTAAGAATGTGTAAAATGATATGGCAGACAAAAAGATAATTTTGGACTGTATATGAACAGTGACCACATCACATAGCAAAAATGTAACCCCTTGTATAAGACTCTGATGCAACCACACATGGACTATTGCACTGAGTACTGGGTACTCAGAAAGATATTGACAAATTTAGACTTCTTATTGATGAAGCACACCAAAATTATCATGGGTCTATTAGGTATCTGTTAGCCAAAATATACATTTTTTAATCTTTCCCATTATGAAGGAAGGACATGGTAATGTTCTACAGATATTTGGAAGATATAAACAGCAGGAATGGTGAGAAATTAATTTGGTAAGTACAAAGGGTTATAACAAGAAGAAATGGAATGAAATTGAAAAGATGAAAAATTAGGCTTAATTAAAGCTAGGCTAGACAAAACAGGAGAAAAAATATTCCGGAAGTGTCATGTATTGGCTTGAGATGGCCTAGATAACGTAAGGGATGCTTTCCACCTTTAATGGTTCAGTGAACATATTTTATTAGCTTTGTGTGTCATTACAACCTTCCATAGATGTTCAAAGATCACTGTGTTATAGCTAAGGAGCAACATTTTTCATGTGTGGAAAAGAATAGCCTATTGATAATCATAACTTGATATTGATAAAACATATAATAATCCCAACTTAGACACCAAGAGCTATTTCTCTACAACCAGCTTCCAAAATTGTGCCCACACGTTTTTGTTCACACAG